CTCTCTGTATACTTATATATACTTTATCTGTCTAACCGAGAAAGATAGAGAAAGACAGTGACAGAGAGCGTTTACTATAGCGTATACTCGTATTCAACCGGGAGGGAATTGAGTCGGGAACGTTGGAGGGATACATCCTGCCGGTGGTGAGGGTAAAATTGGCCGGTGGTGGGGAGAAGAGTGGGGGTAGCTGCACGCCGGCAGTCATACAGGGTGCGTGACCGTCGATAGAATAGGGATTCGGAGTCGGAGTCAGTTGCTGTCCGACGTTCTTAGTGGAATGTCGTCGCGCCTGCTTCGCTCTCCGTCGTTCACTTGTCGTACACCGTCGTGCAAGTAGTTTCTCACGAGGTGTTCGATAGCTCTTCTCCAAGTAAACGTCACCTAACCATCTCTATGTATACACGTGTACATATAAACGCATCTTCGGTGATCGGGTGTATCGGTAGTAGTGTCACAGTGGGCATGACCGATCGGTGTTTACGCTGTTCGTACAAGTACAACGTCGTTGGGCAGCGTGATTGGATAAGTTCGAGCAGTAGTCCCCTCGTTTAAGTGTTCGTTCGTCAGTGGTGAGAATCTCGTCCCTGCCGACGGGCAGAGATATCGAGAGAAAGATAGGATAGAGAAAGAACAAGGATACGCGCGCGGCGTTGCTATTGTATCAGCGATAAACGCGGCGAGGATCGAGAGAAGCTGCTCTGCTTTCTCGAACGGTTAGATTCTCGAGTAAATTCTCCGAGAACGCGGAGAAGAATAGATACGACGAATCGCGGTTCGTAAGCGAGATAGAGTGGTTGGTGCAAGTGCGGAGAGTGTGAACTATGAGTGCGTGACGACGACTACGGTAACGCTACGACGGTGGTTTAGCGTTCACGGGGACGATCAGACGGCGCAAACGAAATCGCCGAAGTTAGCGTTGGTGTTACGATCGCATCCTCGCCTAAGGAGAAATGGAGTCGAAGTCGCGGCTTTGTAAAGTGACCGTGGTGGGAACGATCGTCTGGTGTCTGTTTTTCAACGGTCGGCCGGCACACGGCCGTAGCATCACCAGTCTCGAGGCACCGAGCGGCTGCGAGTGGAAAAAGGACGGAGAAGACGGGGAAAAAGCGCTCGCCTGTAGGGTTAGGACTATCGCCAACGTGCCCGGCCTAATTGGCAATCTCTCGGCCATTCAAGTGGACTCGATCAGTTCTTTAGCCTTGGAATGCAGTGACGTGTTGTTCTTCGAGAGCCAAATCGACGGTCCTCACGGATTCTTCTCGCCGTTGCCACGTTTGGAGAAACTTCGCGTGGATTACTGCAAGATTCGTTATCTACCAGGCGGTGTATTCGCGTCCGCGCACAATCTCACCAGTTTGTCGCTGAGAACGCACAACGGCGATTGGTCAGCGATGACGCTAGAGCTGCACAGAGATTCTCTACGCGGTCTGCCGCATCTTCAGCATCTCGATCTGGCCGACAACAATCTATGGACTCTGCCGACCGAATTACTCTGCCCGGTACAGAGACTCGCCACACTGAATCTGACGCGCAACAAGTTACAGGATATCGTTTCCCTGGGATTCTCCAACTGTACGCCTAGTTTCAAGGTGCTAGACCTGAGCAACAACGATCTCAGCAACCTACCGGATCGCACGCTCAGCAATCTGCCGAACCTAACAGTACTGAAGCTGCAGGAGAACGTGATATCTTCCGTGGACGATCACGCTCTAGCCGGACTAACCGCGCTTCATTCTCTTAACATGTCCAGTAATCGTCTGGTCGCGTTACCGCCGGAATTATTCACGGAAACGAAAGAACTGAGGGAGTTGATTCTCAGCAATAATTCGCTGGCAGTGTTGGCGCCTGGTTTATTGTACACTCTGGACGAGCTGCAAGTGTTGGATCTAAGCAGCAACGAGCTGACAAATCTATGGGTGAATCGAGAAACGTTCTCACGGTTGGTTCGCCTACTGATCCTCGATCTCTCCTTCAACGCGCTCACGAGGATCGACGGCCACGTGTTCAAGGGTTTGTACAGCCTGCAGATCCTGAAACTCGAGCACAATCAGATCGAGATATTGATGGACGGTTGTTTCGGTTCCCTGACCAATCTACACTCGTTGACGTTGTCGCACAATCACATAGCCAGGTTCGATCCGGCGCACACGATCGGCCTTACCACGCTCGGCCAGCTCTTCTTGGACACGAACGAACTGAAAACCATGCACCGACACGTGTTCGACAATCTAACCGGTCTTCAGGATCTCTCTCTGAGCGGAAACTATCTGACGGAGATCCCGTACGCGGTTCGCGTGCTTCGCTCTCTGAAGACGCTTGACCTTGGCAACAACCACGTGTCGAGAATCGAGAACGACTCGTTCGCCGGTTTGAGCGAACTGTACGGTCTACGTTTGGTCGACAACAAACTGGAGAAAGTGTCCCGCGAGGCGTTCGCCGAGTTACCCGCGCTCCAAGTGCTCAACCTGGCGAACAATTACATCCGTCACGTGGAGCAGAGCGCGTTCGCGAGCAATCCGGTGTTGCGCGCAATCAGGCTGGACGGAAATCAGCTAACCGAGATCCGCGGCGCGTTCACCAGCCTCTCGACCTTAGTATGGCTGAACGTGTCGGACAATAAGCTGCTGTGGTTCGACTACAGTCATCTGCCGGGCAGCATAGAGTGGCTGGATATACACGCGAATCAGATAAGCGAGCTCGGGAATTATTACACGGTGCGGAACACGCTGCATATAAAGACGCTGGACGCGAGCTACAACCAGATCAGCGAGATCGCCGAGGCGAACGTGCCCGACAGCGTGGAAACGTTGTTCCTCAACAACAACAAAATACGGACAGTCGCGGCCGGTACCTTCCTGCACAAGGCTAATCTGCAGAAAGTGGTGTTGTACGGGAACGAGATAAGAAAACTGGACGTGGCGGCGTTAGCGTTGCAAACTGTACCGAAGGACGTCGAGATGCCGCAGTTCTACATCGGTAACAATCCGATTTTGTGCGATTGCACAATGGAATGGTTGCCGCGGATCAACGAGATGACACCGCTCCGACAGCATCCGCGTGTTATGGACCTGGACTCGGTCACGTGCGACATGGTTCACGCGAGGGCGACACCGCGACGACCGTTGCTGTCGTTGAAACCGAAAGACTTCCTCTGTCAATACGACGCGCATTGTTTCGCCCTGTGCCATTGTTGCGACTTCGACGCGTGCGACTGCGAGATGACTTGCCCGAACAATTGTTCCTGTTATCACGACCACAGCTGGCTGAGCAACGTGGTAGACTGCTCGAACGCCGGCTACAAACAAGTCCCCGAGAGGATTCCCATGGACGCCACCGAGATCTATCTAGATGGAAACGAACTTGGCGATCTGGGCAGCCACGTGTTCATAGGGAAACGTAGGTTGAAGGTGTTGTACCTGAACAACAGCGGTATATCTGCCATTCACAATTGCACGTTCAACGGTGTAGCCGCTCTGCGCGTGTTACACCTGGAGGATAATTCGCTGAGAGAGTTACGCGGCTTCGAGTTCGATCAGCTGGAGCACATGTCCGAGCTGTATCTGGATCACAACGCGATCGCGACTGTGGGCAACACCACGTTCAAGAAGATGAAGAATCTCGAGGTGTTGAGATTGGACAGCAATCGTATCGTCGATTTTCGCCCGTGGGAAGCGCTGCCGAGCGTCGGAGATAGCGCGAAAGTAGCTTTGGAGGGCAACGCGTGGAGCTGCGAGTGCAGCAACGCGGCTAAATTACGCGGCTGGCTTGCGGAGCATCGCGGGGATCCGGAGAAGATGTACTGCCGCGACGGCGTCGAGACTCTGGCGCAGGCTATGAAGCGTTGCGGCGATCCGTCTACCGAGGCTGTGAGCCGTGGCATTCAGGAAATCCCTCTGCTAGGTGGTAACTTCGTGCCGCTTTTAGCTGGCGCCTTGGTGGCTGTGATCACGATCTGCCTCATCGTCGCCCTCGCCTTCGCTTTCCGGCAGGACGTTCGCCTATGGGCTCACGCTCGTTACGGTCTCCGTCTTGGCAAAATGACCACGCCGCCGGACGAGGAACGAGACAGACTGTACGACGGTTATATCGTGTACAGCGAGAGGGACGAGGATTTCGTCTCGAGATTCTTGGCCGCGGAATTGGAACAATCCGGCCTGGCTCTTTGTCTGCACTGGCGTGATTTGCCACCGGCCAGGCCGCAAGAAGCCGTACCACCGGCTGCAGCCGCCGCCAAACGCATAGTGATCATCTTCTCGCCGGTGTTCATGGTGAACGAGTGGCAGCACGCGGAATTCCGCGCAGCTTTGAGAACCGCGTTGGAGAACATTCGTCCTACCTCGAGAAAGAGACGCGTGTTGGTGTTGTTGGCTACAGAAGCGCCAGCCCATGATCCGGAACTGCAGCTGTTACTTCAGACGTGTACAGTGGTGATCTGGGGCGAGAAGAGGTTCTGGGAGAAGCTACGTTTCGCTATGCCCGACTCCGTTGGCAAACGGCGAGACAGCAAAAAGGTGAACGACCGAAATCGCAAACCGGCGCGTTACACGGCCGCACCGTCCGCCGGTGACGTGTGGACCAAGCCTAATGGCGTTTTGGTCGCACCGGTGCACGCACCCACGCCTACGCCCACGCAGTCCACGTATGTCAGCTCGGCGTCCAGCAGGACCGAGGACGAGGATAGTGGCGCTGAACACCAGCATCAGCATCAACACGGTGGTTACAGCGCGTTGCATACAGGAAACGCGCGGCCAGTCAGCCTGTCCTCAAGGGGCAGCCATCTTTACAGCACCATACCGGAACCACCGGTGCCAACTGCACCTCCTGGTGAGGTCACGCATCCAGTCAATCCTCGTACTTACTTCGTCTAGTATAGACGGTCAGGGTCGGTCGCGCGACCATCCACTATTCACCATGTCAGAGGCTGGACTCTGATGGAGCCTGCGATGTAAAAAAACAAAACGTTTTCGCTGTAGAACCGTACGAGAGAGAGTGAGAGAGAGAGAGAAAGAAAGAAGGTATGGTTGTGTAGGGTTATTTGTACAGTTTCGTTCGTTGCTCGCGATGGACCAGCAGCCAGCGTTCGATGATTCCGCGTCTAGTGTGTTGGTCCGTTTGCTCTTTCACAAGAGAAATCGGTTGACTAGGGGAGAGATCCGCCACGGTAAACCAACGGAAGGATCGTGATTTCCGCGGAGGTGCGGGGTTTTTTAAATGGGGGGATGTATGTTGTGTGCCGGGAGTGCAGCCTCGCGAGAAAGTGCTTTCCAGAGGACGCGGGGCCCTCTCGAAATCTTTCGTTCACCTCGACGCGTACGAGCGTGAAGTTGATCGACGATAAATCGAGAGATTCTTTGTAACTGTTACTACGCTCTTACATAGGACAGACACAAACATGAATACATACACACACGTGATCGAGTCATTATTTTTACGTAAGAGAGACATAGAAAATTCTTCAACAACGATGAGAATTTTCTTTTTCAGACACTTCACGATTACTACGTGTATATACCACGCGAGGAGCAAGCTTTAGGTGATAACACGTGGTAGTCAATGGGGACATAGATTCTAATTATTATTTTCGTCTCGCTCGTTTATGGGCCTAATGAGAAACACACACACACACAGATACACATACAATCACTTCCAGATATATTCGGACACTGTGCAAGCTCGTTTTTTTGGTTAATTATGAAATGATTATATCGATCCTTTTTAGTTGCGAAATTTCATTTATCGTACTTCAAGATTACGCATTCTTAATTTCACGTGACACTGTCATACGAATTAGTCGAATTTTATCACAGTGGGAATATTTTTGGGAGTAGCAGCGGCACGCGGATAGTTAAAAAGAAACCGCGAAAATTCGAGGTAGATCGTTGTACAGAATTATTCTTCTACTTCTTCTTCGTTGCTGCACGACGACCATCAGAAAATTCGCGTGTGCATCTTGTTCGATTTGGACGCGGAGAAGAGGTGGGAAAAAGGCCGCAGCGGGGCTCGAACTCGAAATTCTCCTCGACACCGGTACTCTCTCGTGACGTCGAGAGTTTTCGATCACGCTTGAAAAATAACTCTTTCTCGGCCGTGTGCCGGTTCGTCGTAACTGGCGGGCCGCCGGTTTCACCGCGACCAACCGCACACCTCGATCGATCGATCGCGATGCGACCCGCCAAGCTTTTTCGCCTTCTTCCGCCGACGATACTTTCGCGTTATTTATTTTCCAGTTCGTCCACGATTTCGTTCATCACTCCCTCTCCCGTGATTTCGTTTCTCTTCTTCCACATCGATTCAACGACCTTTCTTTCTTTCGTTTTCTATACTTCTCGACTCCGTTTATTTTTCTTCCCGTTCGTTTTAAACAAGTCCTATGTGATATATGTATATGTGTACGTTTACGTGTAATTTTGTTCTGCGGCGAAATTTGCGAAAGGAGAAACATCAAGTTGCTACGACGACGTGTTTTGTTCGAAACAGTTTCTTTTAAGTTTGACAAAGATATCGACAGTATTTTCTTTAGTTATTTCTCGTTTGCTCAGAATAAACGGCAGACGTTCTCTTTCCTCGTTTCGAACAGAACGGGAAACGGTGTTTTCACTTCGAGTATTTAAACAAGAAATTCCTCGGAATACAGAAAAATGAGGATAGCGTGAGTTAAAGAACGATCGAACACACTCCTCTGTATCGCGCGAAAATTCGAACTCACCCCATTCTCGTGCCTTCGAACACAGCCATCGGCAAGATCGAAGAAAATCGTCGGCGGCAGCTGGATGTTTCTCAAGATGCGAAAGGGAGCTCGTGTGTTTAGTTCCGAGATTTCATTTTATTTCCAAGACCTTCGTTTACCTTAGCGATCGAGCGATTCCCTAGCTTCAGTGGCGTTATTTTATATTTCGTTCGAACCGATACGATATCACGATCGAACTCTGGATCGTCCAAGTGTCCTCGATCGAAGACAGAGAGAGGAGAGAAAAGACGAGAATGATACGTGTAACGGCGGCTTACGCTCCTGTATCTCGTAGAACGAGCTCTCTTCTTCGTACTAATAATCGTATATATTTTTTTTCCTCGTTCGAGATACACGAGCGACTCGCGCCTCTTCTAGTTTCTCATTCCCAGTCGTTCGTTCGTCAATTCGTTAGTTAGAAAGGGGATAATTAAATCGAACGATGTGTGTGAGAGAGAGAGAGTAAAGGAGAAAAATCGTGTGTGCAAATGTGGCAAGGAAGCGAGAAAAGAAGAAAGATACGTGTTGAGAGAATGTTTGAAAGATAGAGATAGAGAGAGAGAGTGAAAAGACAGGAGACGTCTAGCGAGACACCTCGTTCCTAAGATTCACGACTGTCTTTTGGAAAAAGCAACGGTCGCCAAACGCTTATTAGTTTGTAAGTAATAAAAAGAAAAAGAGAGAAAAAGAGAAATCCTCCTTGTAAATACTGTGTATAATCTAACGTTGTAAATAACTCACGCACACTTCTCGAGCACATCAAGGTGGGCCAGCCTATATATAGGACTTAACTGGTCTCGTACAGTCGAGAGAGACGAGCCCTCGGATTCTCTTTCAGAAACTTGCGGATTTATTGATTGTATTGTATTGTTGTAAATACGCTCATCGGATCACGCATATTATATATATTGTATTCACGGTCTGTTACGTGATTATTAAATTAATTGCAAACTTTCCATTTCAGCAAAGAACCATGAGAAAAATAAACACGTTTGTTTTGTAAAAAAAAAAAACAAAAAAAAAACAAAAAAGACAACCGAGTTCAGTGAGAGAATCTATTTTACCCTCTTCTTTTTTTTCTCCAACGTTCCTTTTGTCACTTCACCTTCTTCGTGTGAAAACCCCGTTCGGGTCAGCGGACGCGAGAGTAACTCGAAAGTTTTCCATCGAGGAAGCTCGAACTTTGACGTTCTTCGCCAACTCGTTTTAATTCGCCCGACACTAATAGCTTTCTCCTTGTTCCCACACCTCTGTCAAATGTGGCTCCTCTTTTCACCAACCTGCTCCTTTTTCTGATCACTTTTCTTATCCTTCTTTTTTTTTTTTTTCAATTCCTTTGAACGTCCACGTTAGCGGATCCAAGAAGATTATCAATATATCGGCGCGACGATTGTTCTCATCTTCGTCCCCTCTACGTACTTTTTCCACGTTGCGAGGTGGAAACAGAGGAGGAAAACGGGCTTATTAATATTCCGCGGCTGGATGACGTGGCAACAGTCGTACGATAAATTTTCAGGGCGTATTTCGAGCGAGCGGTGCATCGATAATGGCACCCCCGGCTGCATAAACTCGTTCACACTTTCACCCGGCTGTATCAGCAAGTAGCCGGCCGATAATCAGCAGTTATTATTCCTACGGTTAGATGAAATTTTTATCGGTCGACACGTTGCGCTAGCTTTTAGCCCTGCAGGGGGTTCCGTAGACGAACGAATTGCTTTCATTCGTCTTTCGCCACGTCTAGCGAAACTCATTTGCTCCGTTCCGGTGTGCACGGTGTTTCTTCTACTGTAGATACACACGCGCTTCTATTACACACCGTGCTTTTCGCACCCTTATTTTCGTGAGATATTTTTGGGGACAAATTTGAAGAATAGCATCGGAGGCATCTTTAACTAAGAAAATTTCTTTGAAATTTTTCTGTTGTTTCTTAGTCTTTTATGAGGGGATTTTAGAAAATTTTAACCCTTTCGCGAGAGAACTTTATTTTTTGCGTTTGTAATGAATATTGCGCAGAAATCAATTTTTCTTCGACTATTCAAGTGGGACACATGCGTCACGAAAAGGTTAAAAGAGTTGACGAGGTTTACAATGGGTCATAAAGTAACCGAGCGATCCATCGTTTACGTTTTCAGAAGGCTTTCCTTGAAATATGCCAAAAAATAGTGACCATCGATGCAAATTCATTTTTTTTCTTCTGAAAACCGGATAAAAATCAAAAAGAAATTTCTGTGATTAATTTTTTTCCTAAAAACAGGGCGAAAGCGAAAAATAAATTTCTGCGATTGTCACTAGGACAAAGGGTTAACATTGAAAAAATTAATAAAAAATAATTATTTTCACATTTCAATCATTTAATCTCCTCCAGATCTAAAAATTCATATTTCTGATATGAATACTTTTGGCCAGGGTTGCGCATACTCCCTCCTCTAACATTGGATTCCCTTTAATAGATTGAATTTCTGTCCGGCAATAGTAGTTAGTTAAACTTGCCTCGCGAATATGTATATATACAGTACACATCTATATCGAGGGTGTTGTCGATCATTTTCGTTCGTAAGTGTTTGGCTTGGAGAGAAAGCCCCGCTCTTCTTTATACGCTCGAGGGCAGGAAATAGACGCTCGACGAAGGCGTGAACACTCGAGGATGGCTAGACCACTTTTTGGGGTAGGCTCTCGACGGTGCATAAATAGAAAAGATCTCTCTAGGTAGCCTGTCTAAAGAAAGAACCTGCTATACGAACCTCTTTCACCTTGAAAAGAATAATCGGAATTTACGTGTAAAATTGTGACCGGTACGATATCTTTATTCATAATGTACACAACATTCTATCGAATTCGCAATCATGCAAACTACCGATATTACATTCCCCAGGCTCATTGTACCTGATTGATTACAACATCCGCCCACGTTTAAGCCGCTATTTCTCCGTGCTATTGAATATCTAACGAAGTGCAGAGAAATTGAATCGTCCTGGAACCGATAAGACCACCGCCTATAAACAACACTTTATAGTTCCATAACAAGTTAACACGTTCATTTTCAGCCTCTGAATAGGATATTCATTCGTTCGATCAGAAGTAATAGTCGTTACAGAGGCGAACCTTCACCTTAGCATAAACACTTCCAGATTCTACCGATCT